ATGGGACATGTGTAGACAGATGGGACATGCAGAGACAGATGGGACATGTGGGGACAGCTGATAAAAGTGTAAACGTTGAGATGTTTTGTGTTTTGGTAGACTTCCGTGTCCTCGTCTTTATCTGGTTCTGGTCTGACTGAATAAATTCTGAAGACCTCTTGATCCAAACGTCTCTGCGTCTTGTCCAAATGTTCTGAGTCCTCCTGGTCCTTTGTCCTCCTTCATCTCGTCTCTGCTTCCTCTTCGTGTCACGACCTCATTACGGACCCGGCAGGAGGCCGACTCTCCTCCTCTCGTCTTTTATCCGTCCTCCACCTTGACCCCCTCCCTCCTCCATCCCTGTGACCTCCCGTCTGGTCACCATGGTAACCTGAACGTCCACCTGCCTCCTGCAGGTCGTCGGGGACAGAGAGCTAACTCGGCTCTGAGACACAGCTGCACACATCTGGTTTTACAGATGTCAGGTGGAAACACCTGAATAATCTGCTGAGCCCCTTCTGGAGGGGGCGGGGCTAAATCTGAAGCTCTTAATCCTAATTTACATAAAACGTCTGGAACAAAAGACGTGGAACGCTGAAGGAGAAGAACCAGAATCCAACCTGGTCCTAACCCAGAAGCTGAAGCAGTAATTGACAGGAACCTGATGATGTCATCGTTTGGTCTCAGTCTGAGCAGGTTTTTCTGGAGGTGTACTGATCCGGCTCTCTCAGCCAGAAGTGGTCTGGACTCAGATTGTTCTGGTCCCTGAGAGTTCCTCCCTGTCTGATGGAGTCCACACACGTGTTCAAACACAGCAGATCTTGTTACATGTATGAATAATTCAGGGAGGGGGTCCAGGCCCGCAGAACCCCCTGGTTCTGTCCCAGAGGTTCTGTTTGTGTCCAAGACCCGTTGGACGCCTCTGACATGAAACTTGTTTCCCTCCTGGACGTTTGTAATTACTCCACGCTGTCCTGAGGGTTCTGGTCTGTCAGGAGGTCCGTTTCTGACGGCGCCGCTCCCGCAGGATTCTGGGTAAATTGTTCTGTCTCCTCACTGACAGCCGCTTCACGGTGGCTCCACGGAGACAGATGGAGGTCACCCCCCGTTAAATGACCTCAGAGTCTCTGCCGCATGTTTGTCCTCAAACTCCTGATCCATCTGAAGGACAGAGACAGGATGAAGACAGGACCAGAGACAGGATGAAGACAGGACCAGAGACAG